GAGTTTGAGTCACATGGACATGAAAATTGGCACGCTCCGGGATCAACTGATGTTCACGACTCGCACGGACTCATGTTCATTACACTCTTTGTGGATACCAGCTGCAACGCTGCGGCCCAGATACTCCACATGCAGGTACGGTGTCCTGGACTTTCAAATGGAACTTTGTTGGCGACGGCTATTCCTGAAAGTCCCCGTCGCCCCCTTCATATATGACATGAGCACGGCCCTCAATGGCGTTCCCAAGCATTCAAAACATCATGATCATGTCGATTTCTTCGGCTCAGGCATAAAATCATCTTGAACATACATGAAACATGTGTGTGGCACCACCGGCTCACGCTTGAAACTCCGCATGTACAAGTCTGCTATTGATCTCCGTTGATATTGTAACCCTTGGAGACAGTTCTTCTCACCATACACACCAGCAGCTGCAGATTTGGTGGTTGGTTTTGCTGTTGTTGCTGCTGCTGCTGCTGCTGCTGCTTTTGTTCTTCTTCTTTGGTTTAAATAGCTGCAGTAGGCAACAGAAAACTATGTTGTCAGGGCACGTTGCAACCACCATCGCCACGACAACAACCACAGCAACAATTGTTACAACATCAGTGGTGGTGGCTACTGCTGCTGCTGCTGCTGCTGCTGCTGCGGTTGCTGGTCGCTGTTAGTGCGCTCATGACCCGTGTGGAATTGACAACATACGGATTGTAGACTGTGGACAGAAACAGCCAGCCCACTGAAGACTGACTACAAACTCCCCGATTGCGCTTCCGATGGTGCGCCTGAACCTTGTTGGACAAATGCCGGCCCTTCGCCACCGTCTGGAGCAAGGATTGAGGATCACAGGAGCCTTGCTTCCGAGAAAGCCCATAATATCCTTTAAATTAGGAATTATACTCTAAAGCATAACTATTAGGTTAGGAATCCTAATGTGATTCTAAAGAAGGGGTATTGGGCTCTCTGGGTTTAGAATGGAAACAAGGATGACGAGGACACCCACCAAATCAAACTTGGGGTTACATAGAGGGAATACGGGAAAAAAACATGGAAGCTGCCATGTTTTTTTGGGATTCTACTGGGACATCATACTTACTGGTGATTAGTAGAGACTGAGGAAATACATTGTACAGAGACTACCTAGGAATTATATTCCTTGATTCCCTACTAACCACCGGTAAGCAAATGGCTGCAAGCTTCCAGTGCAACTTGGAATCCATCGGCGCCGCAGGTGGTGTTTTCCATACACCAGGATAAGGTCAGACACCCACATAGAATAAGCCAAGTCCTAAGACATTCAGGGGTGTATCTCTGGATGGCTGCTTCTGTATCTGATCTCCTTACATCCCCTCATGCTCACTGGATCTTTGATGCGCGGGAACATTGTGTGCTCACAGGCCCGTGTGAAGCCCCGGGCTCTAAGGCTTGGGCCGTTGAGGAGTGGCCATGCCTTTCTATAACTTTGCCTGTGCAGGTTTACGCGGGGTAGACTACATCGGGCTTATGATGTACATACCCTGCTGGAAGTATCTTGCACCTGGAATATGCACTGCAGAAGTTGAGGAAACCGCACTCCAGATTCTCCAGCGGCGCGCTCGCATTGAACTAATTGTGGCCAAGAGAGCGCTCGTATGAGCTCGTGTTATGTTCCCCTCAACAATTGGCCATTTTCCTGCTAAAGTATCGGTTTAGTTGCCTCGGAAATTACGCACTTTCATCTGACCACTGGCGTTGGGAGAAGCGCTCCTTTCAGGACACTTCAATCAGTTGGAATAGCCCTGGTGGTTTTCGGCTTCGAAGCGGTGAACGCAGTTACAGGGAGCTCTACTCTGCCGTCAACAATTTTTCCTTCACGAATTCCGCGTGGGCTGAACTTGAGACCGTGAGGCGCGAGGTCGATTTTGAAGCTTTACGTTGCCACGTGCCCGCCTCAGAGGCACCGCGGAACTGGGCGGTCTGGATGCGACAAGCGGCTTGAGCCGAATGGTGGCGGACAGGTCAGTCTTTCTTCCGCAAGCACATCTGCTAGCAGGAAATGGCCTGCAATGACACCAGAACTATGCACTTTTTCCCTTTGCCTCCGCACGCTGTTGGGCACTGGCCTGTCAGGAGGGACATTTCAACCACTACAAATAAACCACTCTTCGTCACTCTTTGCTTCTGGCTTTGCTTCTGGCCTGCTGCTCCTGAGAGACAATCTCGTCTCGTGCAGCCTGTAGGACCTGCAGCTGACCCTCAGTGCAGCATAGCGCAGCGCACAGTTTCTAGTTCTGCTAGCTCCCTGCAACTGCATGTCGCTGGCTCTGGGACTTCAGGGGAGACTGCCCACACTACTTGGCTAGTAGGACTACTTAACAAGGCCCCGGGAAAAAATCATGCTGGTAATATTGGGGTCATATTGGGGCCCTATTGGGGTTCTATTGGGTGGAAAAGAAAATGGAAACTACTATAGTATATGGGGGTAATAAGATCCCCTATAATCCCTGTAGTTTCTATTTGCTTTTCCATTATCCCTATATAACGCCTAGATTACCCTATATTATCCCTAAACCCTAACCTTTTTAAGGTCTTTAGCCCTTTAGCAAAGCAACCAAGGCAGGGCCTCCAGCTGTGCTCGCAAGCCCAAGCTCTGGGCACGAGCAGCGGAGACTTCCTGAGTTTGCTGGGTTGCTACCATAATGGGTATATGTAGTAAATAATAGGGTTTCCCCAATATAGTAACTTAAAAATTAAGTTCCTTAACAGCAAGCCAGTTTGACCCAATAATTGGATCCCTTTAAAGGGGGATATATAGGGTTGTATATAGGGGAATATAGGGATATATATATATAAGTGAGTTTGAAGCATGTCAGTGGTGCAGTATTCAATTTCTGCTGCAAGTTTTTGCCTGAATCGATTTGGTGCGGTCCTCAACTAGTGGCTCAAAGCTGCCGACTGGATGACACCACTTGCCTACTCACTGGTTCTCTTCGTCATGCTCGGAGAAGTAGCGAATTGAATTGGACTGGTAGGTAATCGCGTCGAGCATAGTTGCTTGCAAGAAGTGGGAAAAAATCGGGCTCTTCCTCGGAGCCCTTGTCACCGTGACAAGATCCTGTAGGGTCCAAGTCGTTGCTGACGGAGAGTCGACTCGGCTTAACTTGTAGCCTCGCAATTTGCGCAACACGCCCTGAGCAACGTGTTCCGAAAATCCTTGTGCCCAAGCCCAATTACAAAAGTGCTAGCCCTATCCATTCATACAGTACTTCTCAGGAAGCGGCCGCTTCGGTGTCGGCCAGATTGGCAGAGGACTCCCTTAACGATGTTTCCAAGCTGCGACCTTGCCAGTGACAAATCTTGAGTTTGGGATCCTCAATTCGCTGCTTCTCCAGGCCGGCACACATGAAAACAAGGGCCATCGTTCTCCAGCCTATCTACTACAATCAATGAAGGTGTTGTCAATCAGGTGAGCACGATTGTTCTGACCTTGCCCTTGAGCCTAGCTTCCTTTGGAAGGACAACTTGACTTTTTCTGCGGCCAGCCAAGCATATGCTACGACCCCAATCCTCAGCCCTGACAGCATCCACACCACCATCTTTGCAGCCGCAATCCTTGAACCCTAAACCCAAAGCCCCTTGAAGGCTTGCACCGCAATCCCTTTCCTTCCGCAGATTGCTTCAGGGTTCCTTGGGGCCGCACGCCGCGAGCCAAGGATTTCGACCTCTGCAGCGAAGTCCTTAAAAGCCAACTTCAGGCACTCAGGCTACATGCGGATACAGGTGCATGACTCTAAAGTTCTTGCCTCTGGACAGGCTCTCTTGGCTTCTGGCAACTTCCTCAGCTCGCATTCTTGCCTGAAGCACAAGCTCAAAAACGATTCACCAAGGGCAAGCGCGTTGCAACATGGCTCCAATCCGTACACCAAGCAATAGCTGCATGCCTGGAACTCCGACAGCTCAGATTCTGCTGCCTGGCAGCCTCTCATTATCGAGACAAACATTGACCAATCGGTAACTGTACACAAACGTTGAGTTCCACTGCAGCAACTTTGCATGTTGATCTAGCTGCAGCGTGTCGAGTGCAAGCGCGTGGAGCAAGTCATCCCACATCAGTTGGAGCTCCTAACGCCAACCCCAGTCCAAACTTGTTCCCGGGCTGCCTTGTTGCTCGGCGATGATGCCTCAACTGCTTCACCCCTTCATCTTGTTTAAGATCATTCTTCTGCCAATCATGTGACGCAACGCACGAACCCTGCACTGCAGAAGATAAGATTCCAGGAGCCGTCCTTCGCAACAGAGAAATGCAATTCGAGCAGGAGCGAGAGCAGCAAAGAGACGACACGAAACAGTCCCGCGCACAGGGGAGTCAGCAGCAGCAGCCAGCAGCCATGGTTGTTAACATTTGTTAAGCTGCTTTGACTCAATCCGAGCGGCGGCTACGAGTGGCCTCGAGTTCCTTTCTGATCGCCTTGTAGCACTCAATTTCCAGCATGTGTGACAAACAGTGGGCTCGGTATGCTTGAAGTCGAGGTGAGGACATCATTGGCAACTGAAAGGGCGTCAAACTCCACCCTTGCTTCCGCCTCATCTGAGGCAACTTTGAGGTAAATTTACTTGTGGTTTGTTGCTGTGTTCGGGTGCGGATTACATGGATGACTTAAAGGATTTATGCACCCCCGGCTGCTTGCTCTCTCGTGTATGAACAGGAGCAGCATGCGTTGAACTCTGCTGGTCCCTCCTCCCTAGACCCCGAGAGCCAAATGTGCATTTCGGTCACAATGCCACCCTTGGAGGTCTAGGCATAATCATCCAGGGGCAAGGGCGCAATGGTATCCATTGCCCCCTGGCCTGCGGGTAGTTCCTGCGCTAGCAAAACTTCCCCTGCCCGAAGCCTGCTGGCAGATCATGTGCCAGCAACAAGATGCTCTGGAAAGCTCCCTAGGCTGGCACATACTCCCGCTCGTTGACACGCACCCGCTCGCTCCTGGCAGCGCGTCATACAACGGGCAGCCCTCCCCTTTCCACCTCAATTTATGTCGCCAAAAGTCCTGGCAGACAGCACGATGTCGAGCTCTGCAGTCTTGTCCTGAGCCTAGGAAGGATAGCAATACTCTCACCATTTCTCCATAGAAGTACTTAGCTCATTCTCTTGACAGCCTCGCGGAGCTGCTTCCGAAGCAAATCAGCATCGCCTGCAGTGGTGCTGACAAGCTACAGGGCATTTGTGCATGGGCTTCTATGGCTTCCTGCTGGTGTGAAAATTCTGGGATTCCCTTTTGGCGCTGTCCACGGCAACCCCCCAAGCGTGAAACGAAGGACAGCCAAATGAACACTTCTCAAGGTCCCCGCTCATGGACTGGTCCTGCGCTGCTGCAGAAGCAGCTATCCTTCTGCGCTGCCATTCCTGGCACAGCTCTAAGTGCAGGCATCCAAGATGAGTACAGGTGTGTCGTAGGGACCAAATTTGGGCACAGCTGACCTTGAACGTGCGCTTCAAACCGTCCATCAAAAATGTAAAATGGCATAAGTCTCTAGGTGTCAGCAGCAGCGACTGCATTTCACAGACCCATGCATGCAGTTGTCCGGCTTTGCTTTTTGTAGCTGAAGAATGCAGGCGGAGAAATGTGAATTCCTCTTCGCTTGTGGGGCCGCATGCTCGCAGCATCATGCTGCGAATTCTTGGAAGATGGTGCAGTCGCTCCTTCAAGTTTGAAGGGCTCCGCTAGGAATCCATGCTCTCGATTTATAAGCCTCACTAGATGTGAAGCGGCAATTTCGGCCAGATGAGGGGTCAAAGACTGGTTCAAGCTGAGGCATTTTTGGTGCAAAAACACCAGAATTAGAGCAAACACTGTCCTCACCCCAAAAATACGAGGCTGGGATGCCCTGGTGGCGTGTATTTTCGAACTTTTTACCGGCTTTTTACGAGTTCTTTGAGCAAAGTTTATAGGGTGTATGATGAATGCTGGCTCCATTTAAAAGATTTCCGATGGAGTGAGTTCTTATTTTTGCTTCCAGTATGACTGCTGCTTATATATGCATCAAAGGAGCAGTCTCAATCTACTCCCAAAATAGCAGGATCCTTAATGTTCGAAATGCCCCCAAAACAAGACCAACAATGTGTAAGATAGAACAGAGGGGTTTCACACGCATCGCATTTCTTTTGCATAACTGTTCCCCCCAAAAAAATGGTTTCATCATATGCAAATTCATACTTTTAGGCGTTTTACGATTTCCGTCCCCGGATGCCTACAGGTTCCAATTTACCAATTAAGATGAGCGTGGCAAGCAGACAATGTATTGAATTGTGAGAGAACATCTGGAAGATAGCTTTCATGTGCTTTAACTAATGAAACTAATGTGCAGAATGTAGTTATGTCCTACTCCACACAAAGCTGCTGCGTAAGAGAAATCAGTATAGTTTTCTTGGGAATTATATCCAAACATTGCTATGTTTAGGCGCCGCAACAGCATGGCGGTGCTTGGCATGGATAATATTTATCATGATTCGTTTTGGTCGACTAGGCGCAGCCGGGATCGATATGAGGCCCTAAACGCACTGCTGGAAGAAAATCCCCAGGCCGCCAAAAGTGTCTGGGAGATGGGAGCATATTCTCCGGGCCTCAGGCGGTGGATGCAGTAGCAGCAGCCGGGGAACGGGGGGGAATACATGGTTGTTACTATTAATGTTTTGTATTGATTTGCGCCCCAAAGCCTGCCTAGAGACTTCCCGGGCTTTCCAGGGCTCTTGGAAATGTCTCCCTAGATTATCTTAAATGAAAACTCCTGAACATATTGGTGATTTTCTGCTGAAATCTGAATCCCACAAAGATACGCCGCCAAGCCGTCCCTACTAAAAAGAAGACAGATTTGGTTTGGGGCCTTCAGGGTTGAGTTTGAAATCCTGCGCGTCTAGCAGCTAAATTTTAAAGCTCAAAATTCGAAGCCTGGAATCCTACAAAAAGAAGGTGGCTGCTCCTGAATTTAAGAATAGGAGAGCTCATTTTTTGTTTTGAGGCTTGATTTGCTCATGAACAATCATTAGGAATCGAAAGCTTCAACATGTTTCCTGAGCTACCCCTTACGTTCCTTGAGTGAGAGGGTCTTTCTGCACATTAACGGAACCCCCCCGAGTCTGCTGGATTTAGCAGGTCATGAGTTTCGGAACGCTTCTTTTTTTGTATAAGTATATGCCATTTTAAAATCAAATGAGATCGAATCGGAATTCAGCAAAAGCGGATGACAACAACCTTATTGACGTTCAATTTAAATCCAGTGTAAAGTCAATCAGCATCTGATGAAACAGAATAAGTTCCAATCAAAATCAATCAAGCTCTACAAAAAGGAGGTCACATTCAACCAAAACCTATTAAGATCAAATTAAACTCAGTTAAAAGCTAATCAAAACAGCTAAAACCAAATTAGACTCAACTTGATATCAAGTAAAATCAGTTAACATCTAATACGCAACAAGTACTCCAGATACAAAGAACCTAGTTCTTCATCCTTATCCTCTAGCTCGCACTCTTGCTCTTACTCTAACTCTTGTTAAGGCTGCTCAACTGTACTACTTTTGTATCTAACATGATTTACTCCAGAGATCCTCATTCCGTGGAACAATTTTTTAGGCTTGTTATTCATAGGAGGGAGGGGCCTTGGTAATCAAGAGCAAGGATCAGTGCTGCTAAACCATTCTGAGGACCGCATTTCCATCAAACGGCTTGCCTGAGCAGNNCTGCTCAGGCAAGCCGTTTGATGGAGATGCGGTTCTTAATCTAGCGTGCTTGCATTGCAACAATACAAGGGTTGGAACAGAGACCCCTGCAGCCAAGAGGCCGTGCAGTCCCATGCGAAGATCTCATTTGCTATTGATGTCTTGCGCTCCTCCCCAGAGAAAAGGGGAATTGGATCCAGCTCTGCCTTGCACACCACCTTCGTAGGACATTTACAAAGCGAATCAATCAAGGAGATGAACCTACGTGCAAGAACGCGAGTTCTTGCACGTAGGTTCATCACCCTGATTGATTCGCTGTACATGTCCTACTTGATCCCGTTCTTGCATTGCAAGTTTGATGATATCCGCAAGGAAGACAGTGTGGAAGGCGTGGCCGATGGCAAGGTAAACAGCTGCCCACAAAGCCTTGTTGCAGAGGTCAGCAAACTCATCAGGCCGGGCCACATTTGATCCCTCTGCGCAGCGTCCCCGTGCGACCTTGTGTCTGTATCTGAGGGCCAGTGCGGTTTTTCCCCATCGCGCTTGTACTCCGAGATTCTCCTCTATTCAGGCCCATTGGGAGTAATATACACAGATGGGGGATTTGTTGTGGCGAATATTTTCGCACCAAGATCGAACCACCACAAAACAATGCGCTTCATGATGATGGCATCGCTGATATGTCATTATGTGATGAGTTCCAGGTAACACGCACATTGTGCTTCCCTGAACTGATTGAAACATAGCAGCCATCATCCATGCATGCAATTGGATCTGTTTCTTGTCCTTTACGTAGGTTGTGTCATAAAACAAGTCCTGCCCGTGCCTGTACCTCTCGCCCGCCTGGGTGTGTAGGTTGTCAGGTCCCTGGTAAGGTCATCAAGCATCTTCATGCACACCTCCTGGCGAGGACTTCCTGGATCTCACCTGACGCCTTCTTCCATGTGCCTCCAGGCGTAGCTGAGCTTGAACGCAGCTGCGTGGGCGTAGTTGCAACAGTGGTTGCACCCTCCAATGCCCGACATTGTCTTGCATTGGAGGTTGCAACCTCCCTGACAAATCTGAGACGGAAATGGCACTGAGAAGCGCTGGGTGCCTACTCACCTTGAGTAGGAACCCAGCGTCTCTGGCGCTGGTGCGCGAAAGAGCGCCAGTTGTTGCTGGCCATGCGCGGAACACTGCGTCATGCCAGCTTGTATGAATTTAATGCCTTGGAACCAACGTGACCATGAGGGCGCGTTCATACGCAAGTTGACTAAATTTGACTACGCTGCTGCATCACGTACAAAGAGCGCAACAAACTGCAAAGCAGGCTGCAATCATCACATAACATGCGGCTGT